AAATAAATGAATTAACATTGTAACTCAAGACTCTTGAAAAGCTACAGAAAATGAAACCCAAACCCAGTAGACAAGAAATAACAAAAATCAGAGCAGAAATTAATGAAATATTAAAAAAGAAAACAATACAAAGAATTAACAAATCCATGATCTGGTTCTTTGAAAAGATAAACAAGATTGATAGACCACTAGCCCAGTTAACCAAAAGAAATATAGAGAACCTCCAAATTAAGAAAATCGGAGATGAGAGGGGAAACATCACAAGAGACTTCAAAAAGATCCAGAACATTATAAGGGAACATTTTAAAAACCTATGTGCTACTAAATTTGAAAAACTAAATAAAAGTAAGGGTATCTAAAAGCATAGTAACAATGAAAACTAATCCAAGAAGAGATCAACACCTTAAACAGGCCCGCAACACAAGAGGAAATTGGAACAGTAATACAAAACCTCCTGGCTAAAAAAAGCCCAAGGCCAGATGTATTTACAGCAGAATTCTACCCGAGAGTTAAATACAACACAATTTATTCAAAAAGATAGAAATGGAGGGAGAATTTCCAAATTCCTTCGATGAAGCCAGCATCACTCTAATACCAAAGCCAGGTAAAGATATAACCAGAAAATAAATCTATAGACCATATCCTTAATGAACATAGATGCAAAAATTCTCAACAAAATGATTGCAAACTGCAAACAGACACATATCAAAAAGATCATTCACCGTGATCAAGTAGGCTTTATTCCAGAGATGCAAGGATGTTTCAATATATGTAAGTAAATACACATCATAAACATATAAGTGGACTCAAAGACAAGAACCACATTGTCATCTCAATAGATGCAGAGGAGACCTTTATCAAAATTCAACATACATTTATGTTCAAAGTCCTAGAGGGAATTGGACTGGAGGGAACATACCTCAACATAATTAAAGCCATATACAACAAGACCACAGCCGAAATCATTCTAAATGGAGAAAAAATGGAAGCACAAGCAAGGCTGTCCACTAACTCTACTCCTTTTTACCACAGTGTTTGAAACTCATGCAAGAGCAATAAGACAAGAGAAGAAAATTAAAGAGTAATAATTGGAAAAGAGATCAAATTATACCTTTTGCACATGATTTGTTCTTATGCCTCAGAGATGCCAAAAATTCTCCCAGAAAATTCCTAGAAATTATTAACATGTTCAGTAAAGTGGCAGGTTACAAATTTAATAAACAAAAGTCCGTAGCCTTTCCATGTACTAATAACAAGCAATCAGAAAAGGAGTACTTGAAAACTCTGATGTTCATAACTAC